GCCCAGCAGCCCAGCAGCCCAGCAGCCCAGCAGCCCAGCAGCCCAGCTCCGATGGGCTGGTCCCAGCTAGAAGTAGTTGATGACCCTCCGGACGGACTGGACGTTTGCACTGAAGCCCTGCCATGCTCGGAAGTTGCTGAACTCGCCCCGCTCCACCACATACATGCGGCCGCGATAGTTGGGCTCCTCGTAAAGCACCCACCTGAACAAGAAGGAAAGATTAATGGTGTTCCCACGGCTGGGTGATGCCAGCCGCAAAGCCCAGAGTAGAGGCTTCCCCCTTCATGTCGCTGTAAGGATGGTGTGTTTATGGTGGGACGTGACCTTGCTGATCTTCACAACACACAACAAAATAAATCCACAGCACTGGTGGCAGAGCAGTGGAACAGACTGCCCAGGAAAGCTGTGGAGTCTCCATCTCTGGAGATATTCAAGACCTGCCTGGATGCTTTCCTGTGTAACCTACAGTAGGAAACCTGCTTTAGTGAGGAGTTGGACAGGATGATCTGCAGAGGTCCCTTCCAACCCCTATGATTCTGTGGCTCTGTGATTCTATGATTTGGTAGCGCTACAGAGGGATCTGAGTCCCCTCAGCCCCATTCTGGACTAAAAGCAGAACTGTCCTTGCTGCAACACATGAAACGCATTTTACCTCCTAGAAGTGAGTCTTTAGTCATGAGGGGAACCATACCTTTATCTGCACTTAATACATCCTCTTTTTTCCAGCAATTCTCAGCAACCCTTCTGATATTTCCTAGCAGGCACAGATTTGGGTTCTGTTTTATTCCCCTTATCTCTTATCTCAGCAGCTCATGTTGTTGCTCTTCTCTCTCTTCACCTTAATATGCACAGTGCCATGGTCTCAGTGCAGCAACAGCCATCAGCTCTGTCCTCTGTTCACATCTCACCAGGCTTTGCCATTGCTCTGACACTTTCACATTCAGGTTTCACTGCTGAACTTTTCATCTCTGCCTCGTTCTTCTCTCCTCAAATCAGAGGTCACGGTTACTCACCCCACCTATGGGCTTAGCAATGACAGCAGAGCACGACTTTAATCTCCCAAATTATCCCAAATCAGTTGGTTTTTGTGGCCCATCTCTCACCAGACATCCAGCAGTGACAATTTGGTTAGGACCTACTGCTTGTGGGAGGAATTCCTTTAAGCACAGCACGGGGCAGTGACTGCTGCAGGGTCAGCCAACAGCTGGCGAGTTCAGAGCAGCCTGACCCAGAGCAAAAAGCTGCATCTGTAGGAAAAACATTCATTTGTAAAGCCAACCACCCGTGAGCACTGTAATACAAAAGCTGGGAGCATTCAGCTGAGCCACCCCAAGGACTGCTGGGTGTGTTTGGATTGATGTGCACTATTGGGATGCCTCCAGGTGGGTCTCAGCTCCATCTGTCCGCACAGCACCGGCTGCCTGCCTGGTCCCACTGCGCTGCTGGCACCGCTGCGGTCTGCAAGCATGCAGCATTGCCAAAGAGTGCTTGGCCAAACAGCTGGCTCTGGGGTGTTTCCTACAAATGAACAAGCTCGTCCTCCAGTACTTTTTGCAGCCAGTTTCTATCCAAAAGGAGATGACAAAGCCATGCGCAGGCTTTCCTCCAGGCTCGCTTCACGGCGCTGCTCACACAGCTGTAGGGCAGGGTGCCCCAGATCTCCGTGCCCTCGTTGTGTATCCCAATGTGCACTCTTGGAGAGGTTACTGAGCTCTTCACGTTAATTAAGAGCGATGTATAACATCATTATCCTCCTCTGAACACACCCCAGCCTTGTGCATAATGCACACATGGATTTCTTCCTTTTCTACCCCATTCCATCAACTTATTTCTCTGCGTATGGAACGGAATCATAGGCCAAGTTGGAAGGGACCCGTCAGGATCGCTTGTTCCTCCACCTAGGGGAAGGCTGTGAAAAAAAGGGAGCACAAAGAACACCAGAAAGATGGGACTGAGGCATTTTGGTCACACAAGGCGACAAGTGAGGACTTGTGTGCTTACTTAGCCCTTCCTTTATTTCGTAGCATCGCAGAATCATTTGAGTTGGAAGGGATCTTTCAAGGTCATCTGCTCCAGCTCCCCTGCAATGAACAAGGACAGCACCAGCCCTTCTGCTGCAGAAGGGCCATCATCATGGTGGGATGTGCTGTGTTGGTTCATCTGGTGACGGATCCTGAGGAAAGCTGGATGGCCAAAGACAGTTCCCATTGAGCAGGTGCAGCTAAAGGGACAGGGACGCCTCAGAACTGCCCCACAACAGCACTTCCATTTGAGAACTGCTTCCACGGCTTCATCAGCACCATTTCTGTCTGCTTGTCCTCAATCCCAAAAGAAAAGCCCTATGACATGCAATGCCAAAGGCATAGAAAGCCTTCAAAAGTCCCATCACGTGAACATAAGCAGGCAAACATCTACACTCACATGTGAGGGAAAAAAAGCTTTGTGGCCCTTATTGGAAGGAGGGGGAAATCAATCTGAAAAATTCAAGTGCTTGAAAGCTTCTGGGCCGCATCCCAATTTCTCCGACTCCGGTCTCTGCTACAGGGACACGTATGGTGAATCATTGGTCCCAAAGCTCTCATGGGCTCTTGGCTTTATGCCACCGGTCCTCCATATGGTGCAGGGCCCCTGCTGGGCTCTGGCTGCTCTTCCCTCCAGAGCTCTTGGTGGTAACAAACCAACTCTGTGAGTGGGCAATGAAGACATCTGCTGTTCCAGAACCGTGGAACTGTGGCCCTGAGGGATGTGGTTATCGGGCATGGTGGGATGGAGTGGGAGTTGGTGATCTCAGGGTCTTTTCCAGCCATAACGATTCTGTGATTCTATGATTCTAAGCATGGTTGGTTAGCTTTTTTCTTTTTCTTCTTTTTATGAAATGGAAAGGTCTTCTGTTGAATCAAAACAAGCTCCACAGCACACCCGGTGTCGGGATGTTGCAGTCTTGGAGTGCAGCACAGCTCTTCCTGTTCTGCAATGCCCAGCATCACGTGAGATGTGCAAATACAGCAAGACAGGCGAAATGTAACGGCACTGGGGCACTCTGCCACCCAACAGCTGGAACGAGGCAGAGCTGCTGCCCTGCAGAAGTGTTTGGGAATTCCATGGGGCAGAAGGATGGGGCAATACATCCACAAAGCAGCTTCACAAGGCACCAAAGTCTCCACAGGGGGATCCCAGCATCCCACCCCCTCACCACAGCAGCTGCTGTTGTCTTTAAGAAAAAGGATTTAACATGAGGGCGAGGTGTTGCTGCCTCACGTTTGCTGTCCAAGGAGGAGGTTTCTGGTGTCGCGGGAAGCCCTGGGGAAGCCACTTAGAAGGCGAAAGCCCTGACTGCAGTGCCCAGCAGGTTTCACGTGGGTTTTAAAGAGGTGTTTGTAAAACACAAGGAAACGTGAAAGGAAAAGAGAAAAAGGGAAAGGATGGGCCGAGTGTTGGGTTGCACGCCCCTTGGATGCATCTCCAAGTTCGTGCAGCTTGTGCCTAGCTTCTACTCTCCTGAAATCATACCCTATGATTTCATACCCATACTAGAGCTGCTCTCATTCCGCCCTCAGTATCAGAAGCACCAAAATCCCCGGTGCTTCTGACCACAGCCTTGGCCAGGCTTGTAGGCTCCCCAGTTCCCATTAGCTGTAGCACACTGCGGGTACTCACGCGCCATCACCGTACACCCTGACGGCGTTGACGTGGGGCTGCTCCCAGCCCCGGCCCTGCAGACAAGAGCAGTCCTCAGTGAGCTCCATGCTGCGGCCTCCAAAGCAGCTCCCTTCAAACAGCTGGATGCGGTAGTGCTGCCCGTGCTGGGGACAACGGGGCCGAATCAGTAACAACACCAAAAAATAAAAGCCACAGAGAATTACATCCCCCAGAGCACTCGCTGATATCCCCTGGGGAAATGAGAAGGCGTGAGGAGCTGCAGGCTGAGCGCTCGGGGCGCATCCCATAGCAGAGGGATCAGCACCTGGAGACCGGTGTGCTGCAACCCAGCTGAAGAGACCTCAGTCCAACCCTGGCACCCCCTGGGATGCACGCTCCCGTCCCCCCACGAGCGTCCTCTGCCTCTCGAAAACCACTGCAATAACCCCGTTCCCATCAGTGCCGTTGTGTTTTACGCCCGGATTCGTATCTCCACCCCCTGGGGCAATCAGAGCTGCTCACCATGCCCACAGGTCTGCAGGAGCCCATGCGGTCGCCGCGGCCGTTCCAGCGCTGCCAGTGCGGGTACTCGCCGTGCTCCAGCACAAACTGCTGCCCGTGCAGCTCAGGGTGGTCAAAGCAGACCCAGGCCCCGCTCTGCACGCGGATGGAGTTGACACGGTTGGGGAAACCTCGCTGCTGGAAGCTGCTGCAGGTGCTGCACACCTCCAGCTTCCTGCCTGAGAAGCATTTCCCTTCGTAGAAAGTGATCTGGGGTGGGGAGGAGAGGGGGATGGAGGAGAGGATCTCAGTTGCAAGCCAACGGGAACCTCTCACCACTGCCTCATTTTGGAGTCAGCTTGGTTTTCGGTCTCTTTCCTAGCATGCAACCATCCCCTCACAAGCATTCTGGTGAGGCATTGGCACAGGTTGCAGAGAGGCGGTGGGTGCCCCATCCTTGGAGACACCCGAGGTCAGGCTGGACGGGACTCTGAACACCTGATGGAGCTGTGGGTGTCCATGTTCACTACAGGGGGGTTTGACCAGATGGCCTTTAAGAGTCCCCTCCAACTCAAATCATTCTATGGTTTCCAACACGAAGTTTCAAACACAAAGCCCTGCTCCCAAATGCACTCCCATCCCCACACCCTCCCCACCCCTGCTGTACTGAATCTGCACCTGAGTGGAACATCACCCAACCCTCACCCCACTGCAGCCCGTCCCAGCCTGAGGCCATACTTACTTTTCCTGAGTACTGAGACATTTCCTGATGGCTGCTCTCCAGGACTGTAAATCAGAAGCTGACCCAACCCCACAGCACGCGAGGCTGCCCCGCTATATATGGGCCAGGCAGTGGGGCTGCTGCCACGGGGCTTTTGGGACAAAGCAGTGGGAGCTGGGGCTTTGCACAGCTGTGCTTAGTTGGCAGAATGGAGCCCAGGGCTGCTGAGCACAGGGTTTTGACTGGGGACAGGCAGTGAAACAATAGATTTGCTTGGCAGGGTTTTGGATGATTAGTGGTGCACATTTGCTGCTTCTTTTGGAAGGATTTCTTTTTAACATCACTATTTGGAACAGACAGCAACAAGAAGGCAGACTGGCAGCCTCAAAGCCCACCCAGTTACCATCCCTGTCGTGGGCTGCCTGCCCATCACCACCTCGGGCTGCCCAGGGCCCCATCCAACCTGGCCCTGAGCACCTCCAGGGATGGGGCACCCACAGCTCTCTGGGCAGCAATGCCAGCATTGCTGATGCTCAGTCGTGTGTTCCATTCCATTCTCATGGATTGAAGACACCTCTGCAAGGGTCTCTGCCTCTCCCCAGCTGTGAGAGAGAGAGATGCTGACCTCATTAAGAAGAGGTTGTGAGGTTTACCCAGCATTAGCAGCACGCTCAGAGGATGAGCAGTGCTGATTGCATAAGGACTAATTAGACCCTGCTGATTTCTCCTTGCAAAGCCAGAGCCCAGTGGCATTAATTAGCAGCATGAGCCCAGCAGGTCCTCATGGATCAGTGCCTGCAGCACCTGCACGGGGCACAGTGACACAGGTGGGATCTCAGCCAACCCAGAGAACTTGCCATTTCCTTCCTGATTTCCCTTACAAGCTGTGCATCACTTAGCACAGCTCTTGGGAACCCCTGGTGGGATCAAGGCAGCTGCCACACAATGCTCCCTGAATTCCAGGCAAGCTAGACAGAGTTCTTGCTTCTATATACATAACACTGGGCTACCAAGAGCACCAACCCATTTAGGGCTCTCATGTTGAAGAGCCAAACCCACGGAACACCTCAGTAAGCACAGAGGAGTGAGGCTACCCAGGATCCTCACTGCTGGAAGGTGCCTTCCACACACCTTGGGTTCCACTGAAGGTCAGGTTCTGAATCCTGAAAGTAAAGTTTTTCTACAAATGCTAATTGGACAATTAACAGCCTGAGGACAACCCACAGAGATGAGCCTTGTCACATCTGCAGCATTTAGCACAGACTGAAAACCAAAAGCCAAGTCTAGCTGCAGAACCACTGCAAGTATCCCTTCCATTTTATTCCTGCCAAGAATTAAAACTTTTCAATGGACTCAAATGTATGAGAAAACATTTAATAAACAATTAATAAAATAAAGTATAATATAAATAAAAAACAATTTAATAAAACTCTCCCTAAATCAGCATCTTCTACACAAAGTAGGCCAACTGCACTTGTTTTTCCTCAAATACCAAGTTCAAGTAGCTTGCCTCCAGACTGAAGAAGCTGCCCAAGACAGCACTGGGAACAGGCCTTGGTGAAAGGCCAGGTGCTGGGAGCCCACATTTGCTGGATGCACGAGTACAGAAATGCATGATAAGCAACTCACATCTATTTGTTCGACGTGCAATTTATTTTAAACAACAGTTTTGTTTTCTTAGCAAGTTTAACTTGGCCAAATCCATTCCAACCCGAGTGCACAGCTGCATGTCAGCCTGTTCCTTGGAACAGATGCGTGCCCTCCAGCCTGCAGCTCTCACGGTCACACAGAGGAACAAGCAGTGCTGTTTGACAAAATCCAGCTGCTCCTTCCACACCTTGCCCTGACACCCTCACAAAGGTGTCCCTTGCATCTCCTTGCTATAACCAGCACAAAATCCAGCTGAGTTATCCAGGCACCTTGGAATTCCAGCAGTACAAGTGGTTGGGATTTCCTCCTAAGCCACTGCACGCTCCTCTTAAGGCCAACAGGTGAACACCTCACACAGAAACTGGCATGGGGCAACCACCACAAAGTTAAGGAGAACATGAAGGTTTGCAGCTATTTTATTTACAAGTATACATTTAACACAAAGAAACACTGATATCCAAGCCTAGTTAATAGTAGTGTAACAATATGCATCATTTTGATGATTATTCTAACCAACAAACTACACTGAAAAATTAATGCCAGTAAAATTCTTGGTCATAATATTAAGAAATACAATATATAAATTGAAAATATGATTGCTTAAAATTTGAAAATGGAAGTGAAGCCATTTGCACAGGAGTCAGAGTTTAACATAATCTGAAGGGAAAGGCTCCAAACCAACTGTGTATCTCTCAGGTTAACAGAAGAAAAAAAAAACCCACAAAATTAAAAAATTTAAAAAAAAAAAAAAAAAAAAAAAAAAAGAAGCATAGTTTATCCTTGAAGATAAAGGGCAGTTTTGCTTCTTCAGGTAGAATGTATTCCCATTGTTTTCAGGCTTTGCAGTGGAATTACATTACTGAGCATGAAGACTTCCCTTGTGAAGCTGCCCCATCGATTTTTTCTGCCTCCAAAATTATCCTCTTAAAAACATCAACGGCGGTCTGCAAAGAGAGAGCACACGGTGAGCAGCAGGCAGGGCCCACAGGCAGCAGTGCTCAGCACTTTCACCCCCTGCACCAACACAGAATGCCCCCCTGCACAGGGAAGCAGCAGGTGCTGTCAGGCTGGGAGTTGCCTGCTGACGACGGCCCTCCACAATCCAAACAGGACCTGCAGGACGAGGCTCATCTGCCCTGTGCAGCACAATGCAAATGGGCAAATGAGATGGAAGGCAAAGCATGGGCAGGACCACAGCTGCCAGCAAACTGCTTCCACTAATGAAGAGTCGCCCTTAGTCACAAATAGGTGGTGTACTGATTGACAATAGGTGATGTACTGATTTACAAGTACGCTGTACTGATATTTCATTGCTTACAGCTGACATTTTAATGCACCAAGTCTTTCTATTCCTGCTTGAAAGCACCTACTATAAAAACCCACGCTTTATTCCAACAACCAAGCAGCTATATATTCACTGTCAAAGCCACGCTGCTGGGAACACTGAGATGTAGGAGTTCACAGGGCTGCTAATTCATTTCACAGAGAACATACATTCAGTGAGAAGCTTTAATCAGTGCCCTGCAGTTAACCCGTAGGAACTTGTAATTCAGCCCAAATATGCTGAAGGATTTTAGAATGAGCTTTTAAGCGACGCAGGAAACTGTTTTGCAACAAGGAATAAAGAACGCAGCCAGACTTTGTATGCATCTGTCTGCATATGGTGCAGTTACAGGATGTGGGTCACATCTAGCCTACAGAAAGCCATCTGCCTCCCTTCTACCTCCTTCCCTTGAGGAAGTGAAAGAGATGCCAGGCGTGGCAATGGGTGCTGCTGTGTGCGAGGCACCAGGAGGCTCAGTGCTCCTGCACACACACCCGTGGATGCCAAAGGAACAGAGCCCAGGAGGTGCACAAATGGGAAGGTCTGAAGCCCTAAACCCAGCCCACAGCTGCTGCTCACTCTGTGCTGCTTTCCAAACACAACTGCTTGGTGATTATGGAGAGGAAATTCTCTGCTGCTGCTACTGGTTGTTCTTGGCACAGAGCTGGGCAAAGGAACTCAAACAATAGTCAGGTAAGGAAGAGCATTTCCCCTCCCCCCAAATGCTCTCCCAGGGAAAGCACTCCCAAATCCCTGAGGGAGGAGAGGGGGGGGGAAGACTCCAAGCCTCTCTCAGCATCCTCACACACTGCACCTTTCAAGCTTGGATATGAAACTACTCTTGAAAAAGCAGCAACGTCCCAGAACTCATTTTCAGGAGAGTTGTTTTGGTGAGCAGTGGATTTTTTAAATTGTTTTTTTATTTTTACTACTTCCTTCCCCCTTCTAAAATAAACCCTTCTACTGAATTCTGTGTAAGTGGATGGGCACATGAATGCTCATTACTCTCTGCCTTCAAGCAGGTTTAGGGACCAATCTGGGTTCTGGCTGTATTTCACACCATTAGCAATTTACTGTGCGGGGGTTAAAGACAAAGCACTGCGCTGTGGCTTAGGGGAACGAAGCAACAAATTCCCCAAGAAAAGCCTGAATGAAGCTCCTGAAGTTAGCCCCATAGATACACAGCACCTCAACACATCCAGAAATCAAGCAGCTTGAAAAGACACAACAAGCACATCTAGGGCCCAGAGAAGGGATTTAATACCTGAACTCAGCTCCAGGTCAGAGCTCAGAAAGATGCGGTCCTGCGTGCCTCGCATTTTGCTTACAAGATACACGATGTCCTTAAACACTTCCAGCTTGAAGTTGACTTTTAGAATGAACCCAAAAAAGCCCCGAAATACCCCAAATTCTTCTTGTAGGAAGCATTCACCCAATCTGGCCGATGATCTCCAACCAAGACTTAATTTAACCTGCATCTTTTCCTGGGCCCAGAATTGCCCTCTCAAAGTCCAGGGATCTCCCCAGGTGCCCAGTATGATGCACAAGCTCCAAAGCCTTAGCAGGCCACCAAAATCTAGAAGAGAGGACACAAAGCCTAAAGGAGATCAGACATAAGGTACCCTTACCAGCCTCTACCACTTACCCTCATGTCAGCTTAGATCTCCGAATAGATGGGAAGTAGGAGAGCCAAAGCCATGCCATTTCATCAGTATGGTGTCTTCTGACAACTCCCAGCAGAACAGGCCTGGTTGGATTAAGTTCATCTGCACAACCATTTGAGTTGCCTGCTGCAGCAGGGATTTGTTCCTAGGACTCCCACAGATGCTCCAAATAGTTTTTGAGTTTTTTTGGGCAAAGCAGGAAGGGAGATGAGTCAATGCTTTCCCACCTCCTTTCACAGAGAGAGAGAGAGAAGCCTTTGCTAGAACTTCTAACAGGGAATGCCTCCTCTCCTTTTAGAGTTTAACTGAATTCCTTGCTAAGAGCTGCTATAAAGGACAGACCAAGTAGGTCAAACTGGAATCAGCCTACAGTCTCTCTGTAGGCCGCCCCACACACCAAACCAATTTCAGACCAGCACACCACAGACTGTCATACTCCAGCTCCACATCCACCAAAAGCAGACAGATTTCAGAGACGAGACTTCTTTTATCCCTAGAACCTCACAGCTTCAGGCCTTATACCTTATACAAGCTCAATCACCCACCTCCTTCAGCAACTGTCTGCAGGAACACGAAGAGAGCTGCCCCCCTCTGGGCTCCATTATGCTTTCTCACATACATCCCACACATCTATGGAGCCCATCAGATGCCCACAGAGCAACACACCACCTCCTGAACATCTCAGGTCAGCCAGTTTCTAGGTGCATTACACACAAGACATGACCATACTGCTGTACTGTAATGTCCACAGCAAGGAGGAGTTCTACCCCAGCACCAGTTGCCCATACGAATTTCAGCTAGCAGCTAACTTAATGCAGATACTCTGAGACCAAGGGACAGGCACAAATACATGGCAGTCAATGGGACTTTGTTAACACAGCAATTTAATATGCAAGGCATGCCAAGCATCATATAAAGCTTGTAGCTTCTTTGCATAAATATACACAGCTTTCCTTTTTTTCTTTGAACCAAGACAATACACAATACAAACTTCACAAGAGTTATTAGTAAGATATTCTCTAAGATGTGAATTACTACACTGTTACACACTGTGAACCACGTCCAAAAAAAGGACAAACAATGGCTCTGCCTATTCCAGAAGTACTGAGTTGTTTGAAAATAGATAATCTCATTCTTTTAACTGCTTTATTCCTCAGGCTGGCAATTTAGTTTCTGCAGGTATGCATCTGAGGCTCTCCAGAAGTAAAGACACTAAGAAACTGCATGCTTTCATCACAGCCCGTTCTGACATGGTTAGTGCAACTCTTAGCCAGAAACAGAAGTACTTAGAAACTAATTCCATACGTGGAGAAAAAAAACTGCAAGTTTCCCTCCAGGGAAAATCCAACCTTACCCAAGTGTCTGCTACCAGCAGAGCCACAAGTTATCAGTCAGCAGCTGCTTGTTTCACAGCTGAAAAGAGGGAAAAGAAAGGCTGCTCATGCAGGTGCTGCCCTAGCTATGGGACTGCCCTTCTGACTGCTGCTGAGAACACCTAAGGATGTATTAGATTAAATAGGAGGCAATGTAAGCAATGTAAGCACTTGTGCATAAGGACAGATCTCTTAAACACAGCCTGCCAGTGCCCCTGTGACCCCACCATACATCCACATCTGCAAGAAGCAACAGTACTGACTTTGGCAAGACCAACAACAATAAAAAAGCAACACAAAATAAGTTAGAGAGGCTGACACCTTCAATCTATAGTAGCTTTTAATTTCTTCAAGCTCAAACCAGTAGGTTCTTGTAGCTCAAATACTCAAGTGTAGGGCATCAAATCAGTGACAAATAAGTCACAAGGACAAGTTCAAATGCCAGAATATATTGAGAAGATGTTTTGAAGGAAGTTAAAGCAACTTCACTACATCTATAACACATCAGAATCTGCCTGCCTCTGCTCTGGTCAAACATTTTTCTCCTTAGTTCTGTGCCCATACAACTATCATTCCCTCGACCAGACAGACCAGGTCCTGCCTAAAACATGAGGTTCATTCCCTTACACCAACTCACCCCCATGAAGCAGCAAAGATCCCTATTCAAGGTCACTGCAGCAGATCACAGGCCCTGCTCCACACACAGCAGAGGTGCAAGTTTGAGTTTGCCACCAACTGCTTTGTTTTGTTCAGCAAAGCTCAACTTTCAGTTCTCCATTCCTGTTAACTTATGGTTGCATCAAAAAGCACATACATGTAAACCTGAATGCAGACACCCAGTTTGTTTCCAGCCATCTACACAAGCTATCTGTACAGGACATGCAGATATTTAGCTTCCTTTATTAAGTGAAACTACGAGACATTCCACAGCACTGCTATTCAAATAAG